ATATCCTATTTGAATACTGTTTCGTTTGCTGAATTCAGTGACACTTTCTATATTGGCATATGGCAGTGTGGCACTTACTGCCAACACTACTCAGGGGTGCTGTGAGATAGCTCTGGCATCAAGAAGACTTGTGTTTTAGGGAACAGGGCAGTGTACAGATATTTAAAGTGTGTTTAGACCTTGGAGGAATGACCTTCACTTTTCCAGATGATGAAGCTATGTGCATTTTCCTGTGCTAACAGTCGAGCGTGTGATTTCCCGAGTGCCTTGCTGGTGACTGATTCCTGGAGCTCTGATACATTCCCAAGGCAGGCTTAGGATGGTTCTCCAGTCCCCTTGCTACCCTTCCTCTGCTATTTAGATCAAGCAACTGACACACTTTTCTTTGGTCCCAGGAAAGTGGGGGCTCAGCAAGAACTGATTACCGAGCCATTCAACTAGTCAAGAAAAAAAAGCAGAAAGGAACTGGGAGCGATGAAGGTGAGGCCGAGTGTGCTGCAGTGCTGGTGGACAAGGGACTAAGGTCTCTTGTGTCACAGTCACAGGCAGAGGAAGCACACAGAACAGTTGTTTCTGTGTTCTTTGTCTTCTATGTTCAAAACGCCCTTATATCAATTCCTTAGCTTTATGTAAACTTAGGAAACAGGTTGTAACCAAATCCTCAGCATGTCTGAACATGCTTGACAGGCCTAAAGAGGCTCTAGGGAAGTCAAGGGTTCAAACACAGTGTCAGTTCTGGAAGGCTACTGAATAAATGAGCCAAGCTGGTCAGGTGTCAAGAAAGCAGGAGGGTAGTTGGATGCTGAGTTAGGCCTGGTCTTGTGGTGGAAATCATGGGATAGGGCAGCTGTTGTCTGTAGGACAGCTATGTGAAGGCAGTATGTGCACAGAAGTGTCTGGTTGAATCAGCCTGAACCTTTAAGAGCAGCAGCTCACTTGAATGAGATGATGAAACAAAACAGTATCCCATGGGCCAGTTAAGTCTGTGGGATTGAAGATCCAGTGCTGAAAGGAGACTGGCAAATCCTGTTAATGTCAGCAGGGCTCTTTGGTGATTTCAGGTATCATTCATCTTTACATTCACTTAAACTTACTTGGCTCAATTTTAGTCCTTATGTTCTTATGTTATATCTGCGATTTAAAATAGCAGTTTTCTTCAAGCAGATGTTTCCCTATGTACTTGTCAGTGTCATTTGTGACTTAGAGAAAGGACAGTTCTGTGCCTCAAGGATCTGAAACTTGTAGTTAAAATTTGCAGGGAAAATAAAAGAAAGGGGAAGTGGAGTGATGTAGAAAAAAATTACTTCGTATAAGCCAGATTCCTTAAGTCAGATGCCTTTATTGAACCCAGCAGTAATTGTGTTGGAGGAAAAGGAGTGCTTCAGACTTCTGGTACATACAAAGTTTATTGCACTCGCCACACTGAGACAATATCTACAGAGATAGTTACTTGGTTATCATTTTAAGTATGACATTTTAAAAATTAAAGACACATTAAAAGTCTCTTTTAAAACTGACAGTTTTTCCTTAATATCGGTATTTGGCAAATGTTGAGATTTTCAGTTATCTAAATGTTATACCTGCAGCTGCTACCTGTTGGCATCAGAATCCACAGAGAAGTCAAAGGCTGTTCTTGGCAGCCAGCTATCCTTCTGGTTTAGAGCCATAGTGCTCTCTCCCACTCTTTCCTATGTTGGGCAGAATGTTCTGTCTGTCCTGTGTGCTCAGGTGGCTGTGCAGCTTGCTTCATTGGTGTAGTTGAGCACTTCTCATTGTTGTGTGCTTCCCTAAATTAGCAATCACATCTTGAGACTTGATCTGATTGATTCTTTTGGGGAGAGGAGGGTTAGTAAAGCTCTTTGAGGTGGTGCTGGGTTCTTTGTGGAGTCCCTTGAACTGTTTCATAGCAACTTAATCATTAATGACTAGCACCTAGCACCATTAGATAGATCCCTGGGGTCTGCAGAGATGGTGATAATAGTTCTACCTTCCTCTTATTAGCTAGGGCATTTGTCTAGAGAAGCTTCTTGTCCTTCACCCTGAGGTATAATTGATAGGAGAAAGTCAGGGTGCTTAAGTCTGCACCAGGTTGCTGTGAGTAGTTTCTGGCCATCTTCTGTGATGACCACAGCATCTCATGTACTCATTTTAAATGTTTTATAGACTTTACTTTGAAGGGAAATAGAATTGTGGCATCTGCAAGGTATCTGGCTTTTGTGGGTGAGAAGAAAAAAAATGTCCCTGCCAGGGTGAAGGATTACCTTCAGCCACCTACCTGTCTTTCTTAAAAAACACTCTTGAAATCCTGTGACCAGCCAGGAGAGATTCATGTACAGTTCCTGCCTTTAAATAGTGCTTGGAGCCAACCGTGCTTCTCCTAACATCTTTCAGACTTACAGATCCTTTCTGCTTCAGGTGTCTGTGCACAATACATAGTGTCACCATTGTGTTCACATTTGTAACATGTCACGCGGCTACTCCTTATAGCCTCTTCATAGCCCTGATGAATCTGTTACTGGCAACTTCTGCAGTCACAGTCATGGGAGGTTCACTCTTAGCAGGTGTTCACCAGGTCCCTTCTCTGCCTGGGCCAAACCAGACTCCCACCTGGACTCTGTTGTCAGGTCTTCCCTGTCTCCAGCCATGTCAGGACCTCGGCCCTCCCATACCTATCATAATGCTTTTGAGAATACAGATCCTCACCTTGTAGACTTTCCATGTGCATTTCCTGAAGCTTCCTTTTGATTAAGTTGAGGTTCAGGTCTTTTAGAGCTAATGTAATGTGCCCTCTTTGAGTATTATTCTGGGTACAAATGTATTGACATGGATTACTAGCAAAGGTGCTGTTGATCAGCTTTCTACTTTCTATAAATGTCCTATTTTTTTCCCTTATGGTTGTAAATATTTAATTTGACATAGATATTTTATAATTGTGTGCTCCCAAGTATGCTTTTAGCTTCAGTCATTCTCTGGAGCTCACAGCCCACTGAAAGCTCTGGTACTCAGTGTTATGCAGTGAAAGGACATGGTCAGACCAAGAGCAGGATCATCTGATGAGGATAGTGTGAACTTTTTGCAGTGCTGATGACCAGAAGAACTCACCTGAAGCATGCCATCTACATTGCTTATTGGGACTCGATTATGTAAGACCCAGTCCCCCTAGATGTAGGGCTGGCAGTTTGTGACCCAGAACTAACCTGTACAGCATTGGCTCTCTGAAGTGGCTTAAGGACCCAAGGAAAACAAGAATATTCTTATTTTTAATCTGGGAGGGTAGTGGTTCTTGGCTTATATGTATGTTCATGTACCATGCCTATGCCTGCTACCCTCAGAGGTCAAAAGAAGGCATTAGATGGCCTGGAACTAAAGTTACAGGTGGTTATGAGGTGGCACATGGGTACTAGGAATCAAACCTTGGTCCTCTGCAAGAGCTGCCTGTGCTTTTTAACTACAGAGCTATTTTTCTATCCAGGAAGCAAGAACATGCAAACAGGCAAGGCATTCTAGGGCCCCTAGGTTATCTTCCAGGAGGTCAACAAGGCTAATTGTTTACCATACACTGCAGATTCCCTGTTTCTCATGGTTTTCATAGATTTAACACTAGACAGTAAGTTTTGATTATAATAGTATAACTCTGACATTGTATGGGCGATTTGTATTTCCTGTATTTAAAAATTAGTGTTTTCTACAGAAATTAGCTCTTTTTTCCCTCTCACTGGTGTACTCCATCAGTCTCAGCATAGACTCAGAGGATTATGACTTAGGCTATTCCCAATATCAAGTTATAGTATATGACTAGCATTGATTTTGTTGCTCTGAGTATCCATTAGGAGACCCTGCAAGTGGATTCTTGTGCCCCCAATATACCCTATCCACCCTATCCTGAACTCATCTTGTCCTGTGTGATTCTCCAGAGAGCACTGGTTCCTTTACTGGAGACTGTTATTTACAACCATGGTGTGGGCCCAAGGCTGTGCTGGCTACTGATGAGCTTTATGCACTGGGTTCTCAGAGGCCAGTGCTAGGAAATATTTGTAAATATGTTCATCAGTCTGAGCTGAGATCTCTATGCAGAATGTTATGAGGTTGTTTTGTTTTGGGGAGTATGTATGTAGTATTTCACACTCCTTGTTACTACCTTGGTATTTATTAGTGAAATATTCCTCTAGGTGACTTAGGTAGGGTTGGGCTAGTATTGTGGCACCAAGTCTGAGGGGGAAATTTAGGTTTCTTGGGTGTCTGCATTTTGACATTGTGATCAGAAATTATGAATTGCATTTAATTCTGAGCACAGAAGTCCCAGTGTGACTACACTGTTGTGCAATCCAGGCTTTAACAAACATAAAGATGTTGGTGCTATAAATGTTAGGCATGTGCAATCTCAGAAAATGTGTGGTCTAAAATCCAAGGCTGCTCCCAGTGTGCTGCTGTTGAGAGTGCATACAAGAGCACTGCCTGCATCTTCAGCTCAGGCATTTAGCTGCTTCTAACAGAATCATCAATGTAAGAATTCTCAGTGTGAGAATACCTTTGGAGAGGGAAGGTCATTACTAGAGATTGAATTTAGGTCCTTACACATAATAAGCAGTGATCAATGGCTTTAAGGGTAGGGAAAGGAAAGAAGGCATGGTGCTAATTAGACGGAGCAGTAAACAACAAGATGTGTGTGACCAAAACCCAGGGGCATCTGTGTCACTGTAAAAGCATAAACAACTCTTAAGTGCAGTGCCAGGAGACAAAGATTGAATTCATCTAAGTAAAGCACATCCTTAGGGAAATGTTTGGGAAGGCAAGCAATGACTCGAAACAAACTCCAAAGCAAGGAGAGGTTGTCCACGTGTGGTCCATAGCAGAGTTAAAGAACATTTATTTCGAAAGCTTAGATCTCAAGTAATATAAGATGAAATCTGATAGAAACCTGGAGGGAGGGGAGTGAATAAAGGCCCAGCAGTATTGAAAATGACTCACTTAGCTTGTTTGCTACAGACCAAGCAGAAACATTGAAGTTGTGAAAGAGGTTTATTCATGGGATTAATGAAGTAAATTTACTAGATTCTAATCCATATCCAGTGTTTGTAGAAATAATACAAGGAATGAGGAATGAAGAAAATTACAACTCATTTCTTCATAGGGAAAAAGTCTTGGCAGGACTGTTTTCTAACCATTTGTAAAAATTACAAAGTAAAATTCACTTGGAAGCCAAAATAAAGCCTGCTGAGCAGTTAGGTAGCAGAAGGGGAAAAAAACCGCCTTATTGCAACAAAAAGTGATAGCTGTGGAGTTTCTAGTTTGAACCCTTTAACAGTAGCAGCACTTGCTTGGGTCTCTTGTGGAGATTAAATGAGACTACAGCCATAGAACACTTGAAGTATAGGCTAATGATGGCTTGGTGCATATGAACCAGGGATGTGACTGAAAACACAGATATGTGCACAGCAGCCTCCTCTTAGGAACAGAAAGCACAAGATGAGAAAACAAGCATATAATAACCAGTCCTGTGTAACCAGCTGTTCAGGTTGGAACTTTTGGCTTGGGTGGAACAAAGCATATCCTTAAATGCACACAGCTATCCAGGCTTTTGGTTTCCTTTTCTGCTGAGGCACTTGAACCAAGGACAAATAGCAAAAGAAAGTTGCACCATCAGCGGAAACAGAAATAAACATGTCACATACACTGGTAATATAGAACCTGCAACAGCATACCATTCTAAAAGACAAATGTGAACACTGTAACATGGAAAAATTATATGTGTCAGTCTATCGTGCTATTTTCTACATACCTTACTCTACCTAGGATATGGACAACAAGGGTTGTCACCACACAGAATGGCCATAGAAGCTTCCTTAAAAATAATAGATATCATGTATTGACCAGCATCCTGAACGTCTTGTATTAACTATATTCTGACTAAACAGGGTCAGAAACTACCTAATGGTAGATTTGTTAATGAGTCAATCATAATCAGAGGCCAGTGAAGAGCCCTACTGTTTTCTCCATAGGTATGTGTGTGCAAGGCCAGAGGAGGGAACATCAGCTGTCTCACACTTATTACTCCCTTATTTCCTGAGACAGGGCCTCATTGAACCTGAAGCTAGCAGTCTGTCTTCTAGCTAGGCCCAGCAATTCTGTTTCTGTGCCTTCCTCTACTACCATTTCTAGGGTTACAGGCATGCTCAGCAACGCCCAGCTTGTTAATGTTGGCTTTGGGATTGCAAACTTATATTCTAGAGTTAAATAGCAAGCACTTCTAACCACTGAGTCATCTCTCCAACCCTCAACAGATCTTAAGTTGCATTTCTTTAAAAATTAATAGGCATTACTGGTAAACATAGAAATTTCATAATGAGTTTTGTTGAGTGTAGGTCACACCTGTCATAACCAGTACTCAAGTGGGGATAGGGGTTCAGAGCCCAGCTCACTGGTGAGTTTGAGACCAGCAGCCAGCACCCACTCACTGCTGTGCTCCAAGGGCATCCTACAGGTGTGCCCAGATCATTTGGGACTCACTCCTATTCCTGTTCTTGTCATAGGTGTTCATGTTCTTCTGGAGGGTCTTGCCTTGGAAATAAACCAAAAATAGAACTAAGGTGGATCCTTTGGAGGAGATGTGGTAATTTATAGATGACTTCACTGTTGGTGAAGCCCAAGACATTCAGCTAAAAAATTAGTAAAAGGAGATATTTAGTGTCTAGTTAATAAAGAAATATCTGCCCTCTGGAGTTCTCTAAAGGGCAGCAATAGGCAGTAAGGAAATATGCTTGCAGGATCACAGCAGCTCCACAGGAGGAAATTTCACAAGCAGGCAGGAATTCTCCTACATGGAAAAGACAACAGAAGTTAGCTGAAAGGCAGAGAAGGTTTTCTCCCTAGTCATGTGGCCTCTTCCCTCCCATACACCAGGGAAAGGTGAACAGCAGATACCTAGTCTATTGAGTGGAATGGAAGTACCTGATGAACAAAGCCTGAATAAATCAATGAAATTAATGAACCAGGAAGGGATCAGAAAAGGGTTGTAGTTCTCAATAGGGGAGGCAGGAAGGCATCAGGAAAAATAAAACCACAGGGATGGAAACAGGTGGTTGACAGTCTAGGAAGAGCCTGAGTCTGCAATGTGGTTGTCCTGTCCAAAGAGAAATCAGGCTGACCTCACTGGGGTTTAACTGGGCAGAGGGAGAACAGAGGCACTAAGGTGACCCAGCTGTTACTCCTTGAAAGCCATGTTCACACCTCGGGTCTTCACTGAGAGGGAAAAACAGGGACATGATATCTTAAAAGGCCATTCCATCTGCTCTTGATGTCATGAATGGGAGGAAACAAGAACAGCTAGGGACTTCTATGGCCATCCTGCTGAAGCAAGAGTGTCTGGGGTCAGTGGTAGCTAAATAGTGAGAGGGATTTGGGCCTTGTCTTGAAGTAGGGGCCCTTAGAATTGGGTGTGAGGAAAAGGAATGTTACAGGCTCCACAAAATGGTGACACTTTTTCACTTGAAAGTCCAAGAAGGTTTGAAGACAGAATGAACCCCCAGGTGAGAATGCTCAAGAAAACTTTAGGAAATGTCTAGAGACTACACTATAGATGCTCAAGCCTGTCACATGTTCACCACAATGGCCCAGCAGGAAAAGAATGCTGGTGTATCATGGTCAGAGTCACAAGCCAGAGCACAGGACACAGAAACAGCTAGGGCCTGGTCCATCCTTGCATGGTGGCAGAGGTGACCCAATGCTGTCCTTTGTGGATTTCAAATGGTTTAGGGCTTTTGAAAAGCTCTAACAGCCAGCACTTAACTACACTCTGTTCTACCTGCTGTAATAGAAGAACTTGTTTGGTTTTCACAGTCACCTTGGCAGGCCAGGCAGGAAGTAAATCCTTCACATGTTATACATGTGCTGGCAGGAGACCCAATGAACAGAGCTTGGTAAGCAAACCTTGCAGCAGATTTGACCAGAGGCCACATCTGATGGGAACTGAAGGTGAGGAGGCAGATGAGCACCACCATGAGTAAGTGTTTGCAGAAGACTACCAGCAGCTGGGTAGGACCTCATGTGTCTACAGAGTCATTAGGTGATGGTTCCAAGAAGAAAAACCCAAAACTGGGCAATGATTCCATGTGCAGCTGCCCCTTACTGTGTTTAGCTTGTGAAGATAACCCGGAGTCTGTGTAAAGGAACCGTCTGCCAGCTACTGTTCTACCAGAATTGTTTATAGAATATTTATAACTCAAATGTATATCAAAAAAGCTGTACACTTTGCGAATGTTTTTGGTAAGTCAGTCTGTAAGAAACGGTAGGTGTGTGGATAGACACGATTGTGTATATACTTACATAGAAGTTAGGTAAGACATGCCCATGCATGGATAGTCTCCCCCCAATCGTAGGTGTGAAGATTGTGAATATTTTATTGTGGTCATTTCTATATTTTGTTTTTGAGAATACATCAATTTTGTAATTTTTAAAACTGAAGTTAAAACTGTCACATTAAAATAGCAAGCAGTAGAGTAGCCATTTTTCCTGGGTAGCTTGTAAAGCTTTCCTGGACTCTCTAGTGTCACTAGTACATGGAGATGTGTGATTCCATTCCCAGAGAGGCAGGAGAAAGAAGCTAAGGGGGGCATGTGCTTTCCACTCCATTGTTTTGGTACCCCCCCAGCAAAGCCTAACCTATGGCCAGAGAACTATGTGGCTGTGGTGTGTGCATGTAGCTAAAATGCTCAAGTGAGTTACTGGCTGAGTTACTTGAGTCAGTAATCTCATCTTCATAGTAATTTCTTCACTTTAAAACAAGTATCTTTGGGCATATATACCACAGATTTCCTTCACTCTTCCTTTGGCTGTCATCATGCGTAGAAACCTCCTTGAAGAGGTTTGCTGTCAGCCACAGGAGTCACATTACTATTACTTCTCTTTCTAGGAGAGAATTTGGTGACATCTATACAATTCCCTGGAAATTTAAGTATAAAGCACTAATTGGGTTTGTATTTCATGGGGATGTCATTTAGCTCTAGGAACTTTATCCCACCTTAAGGGCCACGCACACACATACACTTAGATCATACAGGCCTATGGTTGAGGTGGCTTTTGGGAATCAAAGCAGAGTGTGAACTTTACACTGTCACCATATAGTCTGTCCATTCGCCCAGGAGCCTCTACTCCAGCTGTACCTAGACTGTGTGTCCAAGGTTGGTAAAGCTCCTTCAGTCAGTGGCCTTTGAGGGCTGTGGAATGGTTGCTCTCTATAGAACCCTGGCTATAAATTATCTTGGGTGGGCTCTGGTCATCTCTGTTATAAGTGTGAATGCTTTCACTCTCCTGAGTACAACTTTTGTTTTGGTGGGTGGCTTCATGGTAGATTTTTTTAAGACAGGGAAAGACAGTAAGTAGCACTGAACTCTTCCACAGTGCTAGAGGTGAGCCCATAGTCCTGACTGCAGGAATCTCCTTTAGCTTCATTAGTCTGTCATTTTCATTTCTATTCATGTTTGTGCTTTTTTAGTTTAGGCTGATTCCCTGCTGGGACAGTCTGTACCCCAGTTCAAATGTCCTCTGCAGGATCACTTTGTTCTCGTCTCCCTTTCGTGCTCTTAGTGATTGGGGATGAAAGCAGCCCTTGATGACAGATTACCAACCTTAACCTAAAAACAGCACCATCTTTGCCACATACATTATCTTATCAGGGAGACAATTGATAGAGCCAAGGGGTGCCCCTTGCCAACTCTGCATAGTTCCAAAGGTAGGTGTGGTTGGGGCGCACCATCTGAGATAGTTTCTTTCTGTGTGAGGAGTCCTGGCTTCATAGGATGAGTGTGATATTTCTACAGGAATTATTGTAAAACAGTTGAGCACAGACTGAAAGGTGCTGGAATAGGTTTAAATGTATATTCTGTTCACATCCATTTTAACTTTTTTGCTGGAGCAAAATAGGGCTCTGGTTGTGTGGTGCAACAGCCACTGACCTCACTGACAGAGTGCTCACTTATGCCCAGGCCTTGTAGTCAAGACCTTTGACCTTCATGTCCTTAGAGACTACTACCCAGGCTCCCTGAGTAGCACCTGGAACCTGATCCTGAGATCACAAACATGAGGTTGGGAACCAGTCAAACCTCTGTTGTATGGCAGGAGCTATCTCCATTGTCTGTCTCTGACCTGTTTCTCTTCTAGACTCTGGTGACACCAGTTTTCCTGGTCCCTTTGGTAGGAGATAGTCCATTGCTGCTATTATCACTCTGGATGTTTGCTTCTCAGTAATTAGTGCTACTGAGCTCAAGTGGCTGCCTGAAATGCTGCCTTCAGTTGTGATCATTCTTCAAAGTCGTCTTTGTCCTCGTTGTTGTCTCCACACTGCTGGAGTGGTGGGAGCAGCATATTTTGTAAAGGGTCTCATTATGTAGCTCAGGCTGATCCCAGACTATCCTGCTCTTATATTCTGTGTCTAATATGAAGCACTGTCAGCTACCATTGCATTTTGATGATAGGTTTGTGAGCCATTCATTGAGAGCTCTAGGGGACATGTCACTGTAGTACATGATGAAGATGCAGGAAATACCTGCTAAATGAGTAATAAAATATACACAGATCATTAGCCAAGGAATACATTTCAAATAGTTATATTTGTTGCACATATAAAATACCTCTCATATTAAGCCTGACAGAGGTATAATATCTAAGGCTTTCTGTGCACTTGGCCTGGTTCTGAGCCATTGTGTCATGTCTATTAGCCAACCCTAGCCCTCTCTAAAACTCAGAGGTATAGGGCCTGTTACCCCATTTCTGGAGGATGATTTTGGAACATGGAACAGTAATAGCTAACAAAGATCAATACTAGGACTAGAACGTAAGGTAGACTGGCCCCAGGATTTCTCTCTGCCCTCCCTCAGGTGAAGTGGACTGTGGGGAGTAGGTAAGGCTCACCTAGAGCTTCAAGGGACTCCTGGTTAGTTAGGCAACTGCCAGCATGATTGGCCACATCAAAGACTGGAAAAGCAATTGGTAGCAGTCATAGTCTTTCAGGCCTTAATCAGCTGACAGCCCAAGAGGTCCTCCTAATAATAATGGTTATCATTATTGGTGAAGGGAGATATGGTGATTGGTAGCATGATGTTGACACTGAACTTGGAAAGCCCATATAGGCTTTAATGCAAAGCATGAGTAGTCTGAAGAAGCGTGTGAAAATTAGTGGCACTGTGATGGATCACTCAGCTCATTGCTTTTCTGTTAAACAGGAAGAGGATAGTGGAAAAACAATAAGATTGTAACAATAAAAACAGAAGCTAGCTATTCCAGGGCCAATAGTAATAAGCTCAAGCAGGGTAAAGCCTGCCAGATTTTTGGCAGGAATCATTCAAGTCATATTGATTGGTATATTTTATTCAGTTTCTTTAAAAATCTCAAAATCCAACAACCAAAAAGTTAAAAATCCACCTGTCAATTTTAAGTTCATTGGGAAGGATAAATAATGAAGACAGATAGGTGGGCAAAGGAAAGGGTAAGCCAGTGTGAGCACCTGGCTTAACAAGGTGTGTGTCCAGCATCACTAGGATTGGCTGGAAACATGGATTCCTTACACTCTTTCCCTTGCAACTACTGCACTGAAAAACAGCCAAGCGAACCTTAATGCATGCAGTGTAGAGTACACACACTCAGCCATGTCCATATTTTTATGTCAAGGAAGCATGCTATGTTAGTAAGAAACTTAAAAGCATAGAAGTTGTGTATAGTTCTTGTGTATAGTTCTATGCTGAGTGAGATAGTGTACATGTTAAAGAAGTGGTGATAGGAAGCTTTTTGCTGAGATGGGCCCAGCCCCATCCCTGACTTGCT